ATCTACATTACGTCCAGGCTCTATACTTATGTACAAAGGTCATGTGCGCCTGTATCTTTCCTTTTATGTTAGAGAAAGGAGCTCAAATATTTCTTACAGTTTCCAGTTCGAAAAGAACTGTAGTTCCCGTTCGTGGGAACCAGAACTGATGAACCGATCCCGTTTATTGTAAGGGAACTGAAAAGCACTTCCAGGTCAAAGAACGAGAACCATGAGAACCATGAACTGTCACAGGCCTAATTCGATATCTGCTTTCAGCTTTTAGTCCCTTGGGTAGTATCGGCTTACCTTTTACTCTTTTCTGCTAGGAAACATCAAAAAACTTTTCCGACCTGATGGGCGATCGTTCCCAACGCTCGTCCTCTAAATCCGTCAATGTTTCTTATTAACTACTTTGTAATATGACATGAATATAGTTCATCATTTCGAATATATGTTAAAATGATTATTAGGCCATCATCATATGTTATATACGTTCCAAGAATTCCGAAAAACCAACGGATTCGACCACATTCTTGTTATTGTTGTTCTTCTTCTTCTTCTTCTTTGATTACGTTTAGACAATAAAGAAACAGAGAGAGAGAAAGAAAAGAAACACATGATTTATATCTTTCATAGGAAAGTGTTCAACTGTTAACAATGATGATGCCGACAACAATAAACTATGAATTTGAATCGATATTAAATTTTTGTATTCGATGATTGCACTGATCGACGACATAGAGATTGCCGTGTCGGTTAGCTAAAAGTAATGAACACTCTCTATAATAAGGCATAGAGAAGTAAAATTGTTTTTTATTTGAAGCAAGAAGCGGTTTTTTAAAGTTCGTATTCAGCTTGATACCCCGAATCGTCTTTTTTACAATGTTTAATGGATAGCCGTTTGAGTTGAATATTTGCTTGCGCAATAACCTGAAGTCTTCTCCTTTGTGGCACGACTCTAGTCGTGACATAACACATCGATGCATCCAGTGTGGGGATCGGTGGTGTTTTACATGAAGTTACACCAGATGATATTAGACCAATTCAATATTTATCCGGGTCCTTGTTCACACGAGAACTAAAATATTCGACAGTAGAAAAAGACTGTTTAGCTGTTGTATGATATATTACAAAATTACGTCCATATTTATATGTCCAACATTGTACTGTCTATACTAATCGCCACCCATTATGTTGGTTAAATAAATAATCATCCAAAAATGGTAGGCTCGATAGGTGGTCGTTACAATTGCAAGAGTCTACCTTTGATATTAAACATACAGCTGGGAAATCTAATTGTGTAGCAGATTGTTTATCCCGTTATCCAAATGAAAACCCTGATGATGTGGCTGAACAACAATTAGACCTTATGCAGCCTCAAACATATAATCTTCAGCAGATAACAATGGCTATTCCATCCAAATTTGATTCAGCAAACATTAAGCATTAGCAATTAATGGACAATAAAGACAAAAATATTCATGATAAAATACATAATGGCAATCATGTACAATCATTTGTCTTGGAAAATGATATTGTAAATAAAGTCTTAACCCATAGTGGCCGATCGACACTCATCTTGCCCTATATTCCATCATCAATGACACAATCTTTATTAGAAGCATATCATGATAGTGTAACAAGTGGTAATCTCGGTGTTAATAAAACATGGCACAAAATACGTACCAGGTATTATTGGCCTGGCATGTACACGACGATCAAACAATATATTACTTCATGTTCAAAGCGTCAACAGTTTAAAATCTCACGATCAAAATTAGCTGGCACATTACAACTCATCGAACTACCGACTGGTGTTTGGGATTTAATGGGATTATATTTTGTCGGCCCTGTTCCCCAATCTTCATCTGGTAATAAATACACCTTAGTTTGCACTGATTATTTATCCCGATGGACCATTACACACTTAACCGTGAACTATGCAGCAAAAACCGCAGCCAGATTCCTAGTGAAAAAAGTAATATTACAATATGGTGTTTCAAAATAATTACTTACTGATTATGGAACACATTTTACGGCCAATGTTTTGAAGCCATATCATCACCATGTGCTATCAACCACATTAAAACAGACATGTATCATCCTCAAACGAATTGTTTAACAGAACGACTTAATGCAACTTTAGCCGCCTCGACTGGCACTTATGTGAATCAACAACAAAGTATTTGGGATGACTATTTACCATTTATTACGTTTGCGTACAATACATCCAAACAATCCACGACACAGATAGAACCGTTTAAATTGATGTTTGGCCGTGATCCAATGCTACCCTTTGACGTTCCACCCCAATCGTCCAATTATCATCGGTAAATGATTACTATGCTCAATTAGTTAGATTTCTCAAACAAGCAAAATCAACAGCATGGTATAATACGAAACAACAACAAAACATATACAAACAGATATATGATAAAGGACGAACCGATTTATCAAAACTAAAGATGGGTCAATTAATCTTTATTAAACAAATGATGGTCAATAATTTACGAAAATTATCACCCAGATATTACGGTCTTTCAGAGTGATTCAACAAACTGGAAGATTAAATTATCAAGTACAGCATATTCATGATGGCCATCTCGAACAAGTTCATGTGTCTCGAATTCGTATTATTATTTGAATAACTCTTTCGGATGACCCGTCTATGATGCATTCATACGTCACTATGTTTTGGCATAACCAGATGATCAGAAGGTGGCAGCGTCTGGTAGGTCATGTCCAATATGGATGAATATCACCCAACATCTCGCATCTCAAAATCTCATCAACAGTCAATTTTTTTCTTTATCCAGTTTTTTCTTCTTTTCAACTTGTTTTCGATGAACGCGAAGCTTCATCTTGTACTCTAGGAGGAGTGTTAGGTGCAGATTTTTGACTCATTGTATACAACATTCAATTTTAATGTCATGTTTATATCTCTCTCTCTCTATTTTGTTCTGCACACGTCATTCATTGCCTTTTATGAGCATAGTTTTCGTTTTCTAAATGAAGTTTTACAACAGCTAGAAAAGAGACATCTGATAGACAAACACGTGAAAAGAAAATGTATGCCCCAACTGGGCCTGGAACCCAGGATCCTGTGGTAACAGGCCAGAAGCTCTATAATCACTGAGCTATCGATTCACAGTCTAGCATACATCCTCAGTTCATGTGAATGATATTAACTAACAGAGTCTCAATTACTGACGCAGTATCTCTCGTACAACGAGTAGTAGTACTGCTTTTTATGAGCATAATTATTATTTCCTGTATTATCTCTTAACATATATATATACATGTATTCTTGCCATTCGAGAGTGTGCAATTAAAACTTAGTATTTATTGGAACACTGTCTATGTGATCAAGCTCCATAATGCAAGAACGAACAAACAACCTAACAATATGTTGTATGGTGAAAAAAGTATAGGTAATTGGCCATCCGAAGCGATTTCTCACTAGGGGACTATTTCAAGTATAAATCGCTATTGAGCTAAAACACAGTGGACAATGGGAAATCGAGTTATCTGCTGATTCTGAAGATCACAATAGCTTTTGCCGCTAGCCCCCACAGATTGATTTCCAGAAAACCAAGCCTTCTACTTCGAAAACCTATCCATCTCAAAATCTTTTCAATCCCTCCAGAGGAAAAAGCATATCGACTAACCTATGAGAAACTACTTTTCAGAGGGTTTTGAAGCCTTTGGAAGGGCCTTTGCGGACAAAAAGTTTAATCATTGTCCTATTTGCTGCTCTTTAGAGTGTTTGCTCGCAAAAGCCCTTCCAAAGGCTTCAAAACTCTCTGAAAGGTAGTTTCTTATAAGTTAGTCGATATGCTTTTTCATCTGGAGGGATTGATAAAGATTTTGAGGTGGACAGGTTTTCGAAGTAGAAGGCATGGTTTTCTGGAAATCAATCTGTGAGGGCAAAAGTTATTGTGATCTTCAGAATCAGCAGATAACTCGATTTCCCATTGTCCACTGTGTTTTAGCTCAATAGCGATTTTGTACTTGAAAAAATTCCCTCGCAAGTGCATGCTCGATAGAATGTCACTTGAGATAGAGTAATTCTTACCTATCTCCTCCGCAAGTGTTTGTTCCTGATGGTGGAAGAATAAGCATGGCACCACTCCAATTACTGTGTTGTATACACTTGCCCTAGTACGCTTTACAGTACCTCGTAGTTCCATACACCACATAACTAATATTATTTGTATCTTTGGGATAGACTTCTGTGTAACCATCTCACTGTTGTAGCAGACTGGCATTATAATATGCATCGTTTGGATTATGAGTATAACCCTAGCCTAGCGCAGTGAATTTACTTATCTGTGGATAGAGACGATAATATTCAGAAGATTGTACTTGTGTATAGAGATTACTATTGATAAAATCTTGTTGTTTTGGTAAACAAACTGAAACATACAGAAAGAACGTACGTTAAATACCTATTACCTTTTCCACTGCTTTGTCTATCATATGATGATAGAGAACGAACTGACAAACGTTAAATGAGAAGAGAATCATCTCAGAACGTGCTTTCTGATGCTCGCTTGAAACTACACGATAATCAGAAAAATTTAATGGTGGACCATTGAGTTCAACAAGACAGATATCTTGATAGGGATATGGTGGATCACCATAACAATGAAATGTTTTACCCTAGCGAGTGACATAATCTTCCTTCCAGATATTATGAACGCCAATCTTAAATATCATATCCTTTCTTTTCTTCTCATCATAATCAAAACAATGATCAGCTAAGTTAATAAGAGAATCTTTTTATTTTCAATGAATTGAATTAGAAAAGAAAAATATACCTGGTAATACATTCGCTAATTATTACTACTCCTAAGATGATAAAGAAAAAAGCAATTTTTTTCATGTAGTCTACCATCCTAATTACCAAATTAACCAATGTAATCTACCATCGACTGAAGAATTGATGAAACACCAGAAAAAATATGTTAATCTTAGTTTTGCTGTGCAGACAGAGAGAGACGGAGATAGTGCAAAACTTACTGGTCCTGAATGAGGTGTAGCCTCGTGTCCTCTGTCGACCATGTAAGAAGTAAAAGAGAGGGAAAGAAGCGATATGAGATCTAAAAATCCGAAGTCTTTTTGATTCTTTTCATGTATCTAAGCCACCTTTCAGCATTATCAATTGTAGAGTTCACCTGAATATAAACATGAACATGTTGTTTCAGTTTGAACCCTCAAAGGCTTCTCTTGTCTCAATTTTCGTCTTCAATAGTTTATATAGCTAATGCATCTCTTCTTATTTCCTGTAGAAAGATACACATAGTGACAGTCACTATGTGTATCTTTCTACAGGAAATAAGAAGAGATGCAGAACTTACTTCTGCTAGGTGGACTTTGTCCTGATGTAAATGTTGGTTTAATTTGTGAACATCTACATTCACCTGGTTTCCACGCGCAACTGTCTTGTTGAGCTACGATAGATGAAATATGACTATTCAATTGCACTATAATCATCGTTACAATTGATATGTGTTCCATATCTACGAATTCTTTCTTTTTTATTTTATTTTTGAGAGAGAGAGATAGATGTGCTCTGATTTTTGTTGTTGGTAACTATGCAATAGTGCTTATAGATAAATTGTTTATACACTATGCTAAGTGTCATGTCAATAAAATGCGCCTTCTTAGAAAAGAGATTTCACCAACAGAACAAGAAAGCAGATTGGAAATAAGGTCAAGAGAAGATTAGTGTTTTTTTAAATGTTAAGAAAGTAGGTGAGAAAGTGACATATGTGATAGAGAGAAAACTTTTAAAATCACACGCTGACTTCACACTTGGTTCATAGATAAGATTTTTGAAACGAATGTTTAGATTTAGAAAACATTCAAACCCACTTATTCAAAAATGATAAGTATCACTTCATACAGAGCGTCGTTTCGAATGACGACATGTCGTTTTCAGTTAAGAGCAAAAAGAAGAAAACGAGTAAACTAGAGTAGAAAACGGAGAATCTTTGCAAGGGTAATTATAAGGGGCGAGAAAGAGAGAACTAATATATCAAATTAGTCGTCCGCTTGTAAAGCGGAAGAAATAAAGACGTATAGGTCATTCGAACGATTCGTCCAATTATATAAGTATTTGGAATGTAAGTTGGGTTATTATGAAATGAAACAATTGTTTGAACAACGTACAACGATTGATCGTTTAAAAATTACAAAATTTCAACTAATTTATCCAAATTTATGTACTAGCACAAAAGACTTTGTATTAAAGAAATTAGCATGTCTAAGAGGATGGGTTTCCTTAGATGATTCATACTATTTCTCCTAGTTATTTAGGACTGTGGAAAGGTGTTTTAGCGCGCTGAGACTTGGAATGCTGTTTTCTGGCTCTTGTGATTTTTAGTTTGCATGGGTGTGTAAGTCTTTGAAAATAAGTTTTTACTTTTGGTGAAAAGTTTCTTGCTGAGAGAAGCAAGATTGTTTTCAGGTTTGGTACCTTTGTCACAGGCAAAAATTTCTTTAAACCAATTGTGTTTTGAAATGATGAACTAAGTTAGGATGTAGTTTAGTGTGCAGGATATTGCAAATCAGCATTCTTCTTGAAAGACAAAGTTACATATCAAAAGACTGCACAGATAGTTGAAGAAAACACTGAACGTGTCGCTCTCGAGGTAGTGAAAGTAGACCAAATGAAAGTCAAATAGTAGTCTGTGAACTGTTTCATGTAAAAGTACCAGACTGTTTTCAATTATTTTACAGTGATTGTAACTAAAGAAGCGACATCCAGTCTATACAAAATTATTTTTCAGTGTAGATAAAAGGAGCAGGTAAAACTGTGTTTTGTAATTTTTGTTAATTAGTAGAAAATATGACTTGGCGTCTATATAATTGAAGTCGTAACCAACTGTACAATATAATGAGAAAAGTAAAAACTCAATTATCTAACATGTGCAGAAGTAATATAAAACTAGATAAAATCATTGCCTTCGTTCTACAATCGAGGAGTTTGAGTTAAAGGAGAAGGTGCAAATGTCACTATCTGAACTCAGTGTCTTTGCAGTTTTTCTCTTTTTCGAATTTGGTAAGCAAATGAAGGAAGATGATGAGGGCTTTACATGTCCTTTTTGCGGATTCAATTTGCGTGAGAGATTATGTAAATTGTTTGACCTGGAAAACGAGTCACATATTTATAACATTTTGGTGCTGAATGTTGGCAGCTAACTGTTTAATTAGAAACGGTTTTAGAATCACACGCACACAGATTACAGCGAAGATCTTTTTGTTTTCGATGTTTTATTCCAGAAGCGCGCTATTAAGTTTGCCGCGTACAGAAAATAAAAGTCAGTAGAATCTGCGTTTTGATCTCTCTCGGCGAAGAGTCATCATATCAGTTGCCGTGCACCCCAGTCTTTTCTTTTGTATATCTCAGTCTGCAAAAAACCATTCATTTCTTGTTTTGTCTAGCACAAAGTCTCACAGCCGACAAACTTTCTAACTGTGTGATCTATGGAGATCCGCACATACAAGCATTTCCGCCGATTGGAAAAGAAACCAGTACACAGGTCCGATTGAGAAGTCTTGAACGCAACGACATTGTGCTAGATAATGCCTACATAACATTCGTCGGAAAAACAGAATCCTTAAGTGTTTTGAATACAG